CGATGGATTAACGGCTAACACCGAGGGACTCGGACGATGAAGAGATATCCTAGTCAACTCCGACTGAACTTCCACCCACTCACGAGCCTCAACCTCTTCCGTGGCACACAACGTTACTGGACTCATGTAACGATTTTTGGTGGGGCCACTACTGAGTGTGTTAGAGTCCGAGCTTAGCTTCCGCGTCGCTGTTCCGCTAGACCCAATAAAATAAACTTCGAGATCTCCTTCCTCTATCAACTTGCATTTGTCAAAATCGTCTGCCGTAGGCGGCTGTGGTAGACGGGACAAAGCATCCGCAACTTGATTCTCTTTGCCCTTGCGATAGGACAGGGTGAACGAGTACGCCGATAAGAAATCACACATGCGTTGAACGCGTGGTTTCTTTTCACCCATAGAAATAAACGATAGAAGCGGCTGGTGGTCGGTGAACGCTTCAAATGGAATACCATATAAATAGACACGCAACTTCCTAATGGCCCACACCAACGCTCCACACTCTAGCGAGCTGACATCCCAGTTCGCTTCGTTGGGTAGGGTCGATCTACTAATGTACACTAGAGGACGGACGGTCCCATCCTCCTGCGGTTGTTCCAGTACCGCACCAACACCAGCCATACTGGCATCGGTCGTGAGTCGGAATTTACGAGTGCCGTCGATGGCGGCGGCGTAGTCGGGGAAAGCCAACACCTCGTAACTTGCTAGCTGGGCCAACACCGCTTTGGTCAGCTGTTCGTGATGTGCCGTAAACTTAAAGTGCACGTCCTTCTTGAGAAGGGCGGTCAGGTCCGTGACATTCCTCGCTAAATTGGGGAGAAATTTTCGTAGGTACGATACCGAACCTAACATGGACCTTAACTCACTCTTAGTTTTGGGCATTTTCATCTTGGCCATCGCGTCTGTCTTTTTGGGATCCGGGTGCAAGCCAAAAGGGGCGATCAAGTGCCCCAGAAACGTAACCTCTGCCGAGCCGATGTGGGCCTTTTTGGGAGATAGCTTGAGGTCAAACTCCTTGAACCGCACCAATAACTCCCTCAACTGCACCACGTGCTCAGCGGCCGTGAGAGACGGCACAATCACATCGTCTAGATACACCTGAAGCTTTTTCAACCCATCACACACCTTGGCCATCAGCGACTGGAAGTTCGCCGGGCTTCCAGAGCAGCCTTGTGGAGTCCTGGTCCATTCGAACAACCCAAATGAAGTGCAGACGGCCGTCAGGGGGATGCTCGACTCGTCGATGGCCGCCTGGAAGTACCCGCTCATCAGGCCGAGGACCGAGAAGACCTTGCTCCCTCCCAGCGCCGAGATGAGATCGCTGACTAAGGGCATGGGAAAAACAGCAACGATTGTCGCCTCGTTCAACCGTTTGAAATTGCATGTCAACCTCAAGCTACCATCCTTCTTCAACACAGCCACCAGCGGTGACGCCCAATTTGAGGTGGACTTCCGCAAAATCCCACAGCTAACTAACCGATCAATCTCTATCTTGATTTTTCGGTTTATTACTGGGCTCCGCCTATACGGGCGTTGCTTTACCGGTCGCGTACCTGGCTTCAGGTCTATGCGAAATGGCAAGGCGGTGCAGTGCCCTAGATCAGTCTTATGCTCCGAAAACCGATCTGCGTGCTCCACTAACACATCCGCTAAGCTATCGATATCCTTGGCCGTCCAAGCGTCGTGCCCCAACCCAAAATTAACTTCACGTACATGTGCCGGCACTCGTGCCCATAGCCTGCGGAATGCCTCCTGGCACTCCGGCTTCATGTCGGCAAGTAACTCCGGGGGAGGGGAGTCGGGGCTGGGGGAGGGGGGTGGGGTTGGGTTAGTGGAGGGGTCGGCGGTTGCCTCGTCCTCCTCTACTGTGAACAACGATACTGTGGGCTCCGGGGTAACGACAAAATCCGACAGCGGTGTCTCACACAAAGGTGTTACGTTGCTGCTGATGACGCTACCCGCCCGTACACCAAACGCTGTACGCACAGAAAGGGGTAATGCTACCCCTCCTGCCTCTACCACCATTTCCGGCGAGGTCCAGTTCTCTGAAAACCTCGCAAAAACATTTCCGTCCTTGACTACTTGTCCCTCCGACGTCTCCACTCGGAGAGGAACCCAATACCTCTGGTCTGTCAAGTATTGCACGTCTTTCGTGGAATCAAAAATCAAACGATGCTCGCTGCCATCATGGTCTGGTGACTCGATGTACGCTACCATCTTCGGCTCAGCATCCTGGTCTACCGTAGGTGTTTGGGGAGGAGGCAGGGAGGTTTTCAATCTAAGAGTGGTTTCACCCTCCCTTTCGTCACTATACTCCCTCACAGGGAAACGCGCCCAACTGTCTGTACCGAGGAGAACCTCGTGGCTCATTACCCCCTCTGGCACTACATACGCGTTCACAGCAAGCTTTGCTGTGGGTTGTGACTCACGATCGAAAAACTGCACATTGAGTCGCACCATGCTACTCGTAGCCAATGGTGTTCCTCCAAATCCACTCCATCTCCGTGTTTTGGCAGTGCGGATGCCAGATTTTGAGGTTGCCCCGCATTCAAGCATGCGCTTGACTACCTTCTCGGCCACAAATGATTGGGGTGACCCGGTGTCAACTAACGCCACTGCTGGCTGCACTACTCGGGCATGTGCCCCTGCAAACACACTCACCTTCGCGGTCTGACGGCTAGCACTCAAACATACCTCCCCTGCTTTGAAGTCAACGACTTCCTGCATAAAACTACTCGGCAGCTCACTCCCCAAAGTATCGTGTGTAACTCCGCCCTTCCGCTGTTTGTTCCACACACGTAGGCTTGGAGCAACTCCATCCTCTACACCCATGACATCTATCACCTGCTGTCCGTGTACCCTTGCCCTACGGCTCTTGTTTTTAGTCTTTCTCCTTTCCTTGTGCCCCCCCTCTACTAAATTAATCTGGGTCAGAGGGACCCTTGATGGAGGCGACGGAATCTTTTCCGCCCCTCCACTACTCTCTGGGACGGCTGTCGAAGTCTCTACTACTTCCTCTCTACTCTGTATACACTGTTCCGCTGCTGTCGGTACTCCTGCGACCGCCGCGACTGGCTGTGTAGCTGCTGCTGTGGCTGCTGCTACTGTTGGGGTGCCGGTTACCTCTGACAAATTTCGTTGGGCAGAAGCTTTACCATGCGTTGGGGGAGGGCCGACCTGATTGTCTCCCCCCCCCCCCCCGCTGTTCGGAAGCGGCCTAGCTTTATCTGTGGGCTCGGCCTCAATTCCTACCTGGACTACGGCGCTCTGGGTACTCCACTCGTGTGTGCGAGGAAGCGGGCGTGTCCTTTCCCCTTTTCTACGTGTAGTTCTATTCTGTTCTGTTTTTCTCTGAGAGGGGTTGGGTTTTGGTGTCGGGTCATGACTCCCGATCGCTACCCTGCCCCTCTTCTGGTTATCGCTCTGGAAGGATACTCGCTGCACCTCCAGGATTTCGCTCTGGATTGGTACTCGCTGCACCTCCAGGATTTGCTCTGTATGTAGGTGCTCCTTACTGCTTCCACTCTCTCCGCTTCTGCTGTCCCTATTTTGTACACGTTTATCGGTTGGTGTTGCGGATGTCGACGACCCCATGCTACTGGGGCTGCCTCCCTTACCCATTACTGGTACCGATGCTGCCGCCGCCGGGAGGTGGTAACTCCCGGCGCCGTGACACTAATGGCTCGAAGAATTAGATTTTTCGGCCTCTTCTCTACGGGCCCTAGCACGCTGGTAGTTTTTCTTGAGGGTTGCCAGCACGTCACGCCAACGTTCCTCCACCTCCCTCGAGGTTCCTTCCCCAAATGCTTTGTTGAATTGTCCACACGCATTCATGTATGTCTGGTCGCAATTCCGTAGGTAGTGCTCCTCTGACTTGCAGTTGTAGCACACCTGTCCCCACTTCTCCCTACCCTCCTTGGCCTCTTTTGAGTTGAAGGAGTATTGGAACAGCCTAATGCCTCTGGTCTGTTTGCCCGCCGGTGGTTGTGCTTTCACCTCCAACACTTCCTTCCAATCATCCTCGTCTACCGGGTCATACGTTGTGCCGTTGTCTAGTACATCGTATGTCCCACCATGCACCATCATGACTCGCGGCTGCTGTGATTTGCTCTGTGTGGGGAAAGAGTGTCTAGCCGGTGCCGCTCCTACGTGGGTTGGCGCTTGTGCTGGGATGGCGCTGGACGTGTGATCTTTGAACAGGGCAAAGAACCCGCGGGAAGTGGTGATCTTAGCCAGCTTGTCGGCAAAGTTCATCGCTACCGTTGGGAACTGGATGCTGAGGCATTCGGAGGCACACGCGATCAGAGCCGACTCTTCTGGGCAACGTTCCCCAAAACAGCGGAGGCCCTCGATCAACCGCCTGATTTCTGCGAACCACGTCTTAAAAGGTGTGCCCTCGGGGACGTTGAACTGCTGCAGCATAGTGGGAATGCGTGAGACTTGGATCTGTGAGAACATTTTCAACATGCTGTCTGTGATTTCTTGCAACCCTACCGGCCCCGAAACACCATCCGGCGGCGCTAAACGCTCGTTGAGCCCCGTGAACATCGCTGTCAACTCCCCTATCACTCTCTGTGCGTTTTCGTCTTTCTTCACGTGTTTCACTAGATGCCTCAACAACGGCGCGGTCCACTGCCGCCGCCAGTGCTGTGTGTCGGTGTCACCACACCCATCCCTGATGATGGCGACGGCGTTCTGCAGGGAGCGCACCATGTTGACGGCGGCGGTCCAGCTCCGGGGATCCTCGAACGGCAAGAGCTCCATGGGTGGCAGCAGGCGGGCCGTGTCGTAAGTGTTGAGGTCCTTCACGACGGGGCTGGGGTCTACTATGGGGTAGCGGTGGGCATAGCCGGCGGCCCCCGTGGGGTACAGGGCCTGCCCCTGCGCACTGGCGGTGGGTTGGGCTGCTGGTGGGACAGCGGGGGCGGCAGCGGTGGACATCGGCACCGGCGCGGGGGCAACCGACGGGGTTGTATGCATTCTACCCGACGACGTCGATCCCGCTACGTCCACCACCGCTGAAGCCTTGCCACCCCCCCCCCCACCTCCGCCGCCGCCAGCTGCACCACTAGTCGCTGCACCTCCCGCTCCAGCTCCCGCTCTCGCTCCGACACTCCAGGCTCGCGCGTCGGGGGTACCCATGGGGAAGAAGCAGGCCCCTCCCCCATGGCGTTGACGAATGCAGAGGACGGCTCCGGCACCGGCCCCCGTGATGGAGCAGCGACCGCCACCGTTGCTGGCGTGGGCTCGGCGGTGGTGGGCTCGGAGGGTCCTCCGCTGTGGGGGGCCGTCGGTGCGGCGGCGGATTGCCTCCGCGATCTTCTGGCGTCGATCTCGGCGGCGGCGGCCCATAGTGCTGATGAGTTGTGCATCCGCGACGGGTCGGCCTCCAGCGCTGCGGAGGTCGCCGACCAGGACGGTACGTTAGTGTGGCGGATGTGGTACCGTGTTTGTGCGGCGGGCGGTGTCGTGGTGCGGGCGCGCGGCGCGGCCGCCGGCGACGGCGTCGGCCTTGGCTGTTGGTAGGCGGTGGCGAGGGGTCGATCGGAGTAGGGCGGCAGGTTGGTGTGGCGGATGATGTGGCCGCGTTGTGTATTAGCGGTGGCGGCGGGGGGGCGGTGACCGTGATGGTTGGTGGCGGGGTTGGGGCTGTGTCCGTTGTTGGTGGATGCAGCGGCGGTGGCGCGGTGGCCGTGGTGGGCGGTGGTGCTGACGGTGGGGCGGTGACCGTTGCGGGCGACGGCGGTGGTCGCTGGCCGGGGCACCGGCGGTGAGGGTGGCGGACCGTGGCGGGTGTGTTGGTATTGCCGGTGGGAGGTGGCGGCGGCGACGGCGGTGTTGTGGCCGGGTGGAGCGGCGGCGACGGCGGCGGCGCCCGGGGGGGACCCCTGCGGTGATGACGAAGTCGAGGCGCCGTGGCGTATGTGCTGATAGCGCCGGGGTGCGGGGCCGGCGACTACAGGGACTGGTGCAGGGGGCTGCGGCGCCGCGGTCCTCGCCGGCGGCGGCGGTTCCGGCGACGCCGCCTCTAGCTGAGCCCATGTGTGCCGTGGCGATGTTGTCGACGCCGCTATCGCCCCGAGGTACCAGGCGAGTGGTTCTCCGGGCGGGGCGGGGGTCGTGCCGGGGTGGTACAGGTAGAAGCTGTTGACGTATGACTCCCACACCCGATGTACCGCTTCCTCCAGCAAGACCCCCGTGTTGTGCTTCTTGTACTGTTGCACACGGGCGACCCACTTCGCGCCGCGTGCTTCTACCTCCACTGCTTGGGCACGCTGTACCTCCCTCTCAGCCGCGGCGTGCACTTCCACGGCGGTGGGCGGCGCCGTTACCCCCCCCGCGCCGTCTCCGCCAGCCGCTGCCTCCGCCGTGATGTCGTCAAAGTCACGCTCGTGCCACCCCCGCAGTTCCGCCTGCTGTTGTTCGATCAGTCGCGCCTTCTCCGAGTCTGTCATCCGGTGTGCGCGTAGCGGCGGTGGCTCCACCCCGGCCGCGGCGGCGGTAGCGGTGTCGCCGGCGATGTCGGTTGCGGCCGCCGCCGGGGTATCCGAAGCGGGCGCGTCACCGGCCCTCTCCCTCGCATCCGCCGGAGTGACATACCCCACGGTGATGAGCTCCGGCGGCGCGCGCGACCGGCGCCCCGGCGAGGCGGTCTTCCCCGGCAGCGATGGCAACTGCGGGAAGTCGCCCTCCTGAAGCTGGAAGCCGGCGGTGGTGGCAGCGGGCGTACGGGGGAAGTTGGCTCCCGATGCAGCCGCAGCGGTGTTCGTCACTGTTTTCCCCTCGGCCACCGGTAGGGGGGGGTCATGCGCGGGCGCGGTGGAGAGCGCCTGCATGTGTTTGACTTGCTTGCGGTGAACGGCCATGGCGGCACTCGCCTCCGCCCTCAGGAGAGCCCCAGCGTGCTTCGCCTCCTCCGCTGAAGCCGTGGACGCCTCACAGGCTGCGGCCGCCGCGGCGAGTTCCCGTTCCATGGCTGCTACGGCAGCCTCCATCTGCTGCCGCTGTTCTTGCAGAGCCGTCAGTTTGTCGGAATCGGCGGTGACACGTTTCTGCAGGTTGTAGTCCGTCGCGCGCGCCTCCCGGTCCACCGCCGCGTAGGCCTCCTCCGCACACAGCAGTTCGGCATGAGCGTCGGCGACCGACGACGGTGAGTGGGCTCGGACGTGGGCCTCGAGGTGGCGGTTCTCGGATGCGGCGGACGCCAGCTCGTTGGTCACGGATACGTCACTGGTCACCGTTGAGGGCCCAGAGAAGAGTGCCCCCACTGTGGGAGGGAAGGCCGTGGCGTCAGCAGCCGCCGCCGCGTCATGGAGAGACGCGACCCCGTCGGCGCCAGACTGGTCAGGATGTCCAGGCGCGGGGGGGGCGGCGGCGATGGCGTCCAGCAGGTTGCCGAAGCCACGTTTGCGGATGGCCTCGGTGATGCGGTACACCTGTTCCGCCTCCGTGAGAAGAGGCCCGGTAGAAGCAGTCGATGAAGCTGCAAGGAGATCCGGCGCGTAGGTGACGGCGCCGGGAGAAGCCGACGAGCCAGGCATTGCCCCAGCAGAGGTAGAGGGGGGAGCGAGAGAGAGGGGGGCGGGAGGGGGTACTACAAGAGTAGGCTGCACGCTACCAGCTAGGCGCGGGCTACGGCGTACAGCAATACCCTTAGACGATTCTTTCTCTTCAGAGACCCCGGTATCACGCTGGCGGTCCGACATGATCAACTCAAACAAACTCGGCAGCTTCGCCAACTGTGATATAAGCTGTTAGGTGGGTTTGTGTTCTGATGTGGAGCACTGCGAACCAATCACAAGTGAGGTGTGGTTCTACTAGCAAGGGTGGTTCTGCTAGTACGTCGGGTCCAAAGGATGTTTGGTCAACGCTGTCGATGCTCGTGAAGTAGTCACGGGTCTCTGTTGTGCACAAGGGGTAGAGTCGAATGTGGTCTCTTTTAGTCAGCCTAAGGTGAACTCCTGATCAGCAAGAACACCTATTATACTGTAACTCAACCGCTTATCTATCCAATCTCACGAGGCTGTCCAATGCTATGCTAAGGCGTCACACTCAACACAACGCTATGGGGACGGCACTCACGCTCACCTAAACCCTTGTCGAAGCTATGCCAAGCGGCTTCTGATCGAAGGGGTTGGCTGTAGGAGCTCTGAAAACCAGAATAATCCAAATACCTTGGGAACTCCGGGGAAACGGGGATAACTTCAACCATACGGTTACAATCTGCGGAGCTTCCTACAACAGTTTGTTGTCGAAGACCGAACAAACTGTAGTTTATTGTGCACGGAAGAATTCGGAACATCTCCCAGATCTACGGTTGTATTTGGGTTCTTGTTGTGCCGCCCCGGAGGCGTGTTGGTTGGGTTGTCTTGGGTCTTCAAAAAGAAGGTCTCACGGAGTTCTCATTCTGCTGCCTCGCTGCTCCTGCATCAAGAGTTTGATAGACGCGTGTCTACTGGACCAAGGGCCACGTGTTGAGGAATGCACAGTGTGTAACACGCAGCTCGCGTCGGAATCACGCGGGAAGGAGGGCAGCAGCTAGCTACATCGAAGGTTGGACCCGTAGCTAGCAGAAATTCGTAGATTTTCTAAATTTACGCCATTCATAGCGCGTCTTTCAAATGGAACCATGGCGCGGGTGGGGACAATTATGGTTGAAATGCCTCGGGTCGGCATTGTCATGTGCTCGTCGGTCAGCGTGCTCGGGAATATCCGATGCGCGCCAAAAAATTGACGCTCGACGATATCTGCAGAGACAACCGCGGCGAAGCCACTTTATTTCTTTCCTATGATGAAGCCACAGGCTGTACGGTCCCATTGTTTTTTTTTCTACCATGGGCCGCGCCGTAAGTCGAACCGCAAGAAGGAATTCAACGTGGCGCCGCGTACCCCCCCCCCCCCCAATAAAAAACAAATAAACAAACAAACGATACCGTGCCTCGCGCGTCGCTTGATCCCATGCAACCTGTCCCGGCTACGTTCGGATACCCACGAGATTGGAAACCCGGGCTGCACGACAGCGCAGCCCTGTCGCTCTTGTTCTGTTGTTTCTTTTCTTTTTCTGACTCGTGCTTTTCGTCATGTTTTCCCGTGTAGTGAGATATCCCAGGCATCATGCGGACCATTTCGCGGGAACCTCAAAGATACAGCGGGAAGCAAGCAACGCCATGAAACCACCATACGGCGCAGGGCACGTGGCGATCAAGAAGGGCAAGGCAAACGATACTTAGCGCTTCATAGTGCGCCACAGCTGACTATCGGTACTGCACGCCACCGCCGAGAGACAGACTAGGCTCTCTCTGAGGTAGCGCTCGCCGTTGTGCTTCTTGGTGGAGGAACTCTTTGAGTCCTCCGATTTGGGGATTTTCTAGGCGGGCGGCGCGTCACGAAGGCCAACGGCTGAGCTGTGCCGTCCCGTTTCGCGGTAAAATTGCGTGCAGGGTGCGTATCGCACGGTTCTGTGTTGGTAATATAAGCGTAATGCACGACATCGGACGACCCGACTTGTTGTACTGTTGTATCCCGAAGCAGATATTGCACGACTTCGAATTGGGTGTTTTCTGAATGGTAGTGCGTACCATTGGGAGGCTCAATCGTCCGAGACTGCTACTGTGCAACAGTTTCGTCCCGTCTGGTAGTACTCGGAGGGAGGTTTTGCGTTTTAGAAGCAGAGACGCGTTAGGATACCGCAGAGGCTTTTTGCCGTGCGGAACGTGTGGTACGGGGGATGTCTCCCTCCGTAGGCCACAGAAATATTAATCAAGGCAATTCGAAAGAAAACAATAAACCCGCCATTTATTGTTTCCTGCAACTGATATGTCAGAAACATTTTCTTCCCCAACCCTTCTTCGTGGTACAAGCTTCTGCTGTTGCCGGCCGTTCTCGTCCTTCCCGGCGTGAATGGTGAGTGAATGAACTTTCGCGGGGGTCCGACCATGTAAAACATGCGAACGTTCACTCCGTGTTGCACAATATGTGGAGGTGCAGTGCGTAGAAGCCGATGCTGTTACGAGAGATGATGTGCCGTGACCAGCAATAGATGAGGTGCGTACGCACAAACGGAACAAGATCGACGACATGATCCGCCATGCGATGAAATTCCCTGCGTGAGGCGGGACCATCGTACACCACCCTCCCTGGACTCCATTGCGAGCCAAGTTCCTCGCTATTTCAACGGATCAATACATCTGGTCATATTTTGTGTGGAGGCTGCTGCAACCCAATGACACCCAAACATGTTAGCTCCTCCATTGGCATGTCCCGCCAACAAACTTCTGTCACAGAGTTTCAAGCTGAGTCGATGGCCTCAACCGCAAACGCTCCCTATGTACCCGACGCGATTGAATTAGTTCGCCACCGTCATGTCTTCAGTTAGGACTATTGTAGCTGCGGCAACCGGTTGTCAACTTCTAAACATTCGCTGACCGTTCGTCGAAATTGATTATCAAGCTTGCTTGCATCGCGGTGAGCGATGTTTCCAGATGTCGTCTACCGCATGGGACAACAAATATATAATCCAAGTTCATACCGCGCTCCTCCCTGTGACTGTCTCCATCGGAATTTCATGTGCGAATACTTCTAGGCTTGAACTCTTGCCTTGATCCCGACGACGCTGTCAACTACAAATGTGCCGGTGGCACAAACAACTTGTGAGTGATCCTGCTTGTAGCCTACATGCCACGGAACATTGAAACAAGACGGGTCAACTACTTGTACAGGTACCCTACGGGCCCAATAGCGTTGGAATTCCGCGGTGTTGGCCCCCAACCACCATGGAACGGTGGTTGAGAAGCACTTGCTGATCGTCAGGCCGGGTGGGCCGATGTCGCCCAGGTACGTAAAGCATCTACCGTTCTCTTTTCGCTTTATCGCACGATCCTTAACCGGGCACCAAACCTTCTTCTCCGACTCCATTACTGGAGTTGTTCTTCATGATTGTTCGTCGTCAAAAGGCCAGATCGCGAAATCGGTGGTGCTTTCTGTGCAGACTGGGAACCCTGCCTGAGTTTATCTACACGTACTCAGCCGTGAAAGTAGACTGTGCCGTCAGTAGTGGTTACGCCTGGCGTTACCCTGCACGGTGTCGAGCAACTTGTGTCGGACCTAACAATCATTTCGCAGTAAGTTATACAGCCTGGTTTCAATACCGTGGGCGTTACACTGCTTTTCTTCAACCATCAGGGAATGTGGGTTTGGACGGGATGTGGATACCTGGTGGGTGCTGACCTGTCTGGTCTGCAAGAGTGTTTCGACGCCGCTGGACTAACAGGTATCACCCGTATGTAAGGGGGATTGTGGGGCGAGATGCTTGCTGTTTTCATGCACTCTCCCGACTACAGTAGTTGTCAGCTTCACGCTGCCGTAATTTTCCAATATGTCACAAGCACGAATGTAGTTGGACTGCAGTAGCCCAATCTAGCAAGGCCACGCCCTCAGGGGCGCCGCCACCCCCCTCCGCCGTCGCCGCCGCCGCGTACGTGCCTGCCTACCTTCTGCGGACGACCTCTGTTTCCCTTTTTCCTTCCCACGAATATATCGGTTAAACTTGGGATCAATATGTGTGTCTGTGGCAGTCGCCTGGCTCGAACATGGAACTACTGTAGTCTCCTGAGCTGTTTTTCGCTTAACTACAGACTTCAGCTGTGTTGCCGTGTCGGTCCTGAATGCCATAACTGTTCGATTATGCCAAGGTAAATATCAACGGCTAGGTGCCATTCTCCACGACCCCAGGGCGGAGGGCCTTCGAATGATAACACCACTGGTGATGTTTCACCCATCACTATTACACGTGGTATCCTGTTGAACTATTGCAACTGTGGCAAGACGATGCTAGAAACTGGTACCAACGCCTAGCCCCAGCTAAGCTCGCTATGCCCTGTTCGCCCGCTCTCTCCGTCGGCGGGCAGCTGTTGTAGATGTTGTTGAGCTTGGCAGTACTCAGCCGGCATCCAATCAATCGGCTCTGTAGCACTGGGCCACCTACATTCTTTACCCC